CTGGGTGGGGTGGGAAAGGGTGAGCTGGGGGTGGTGGTAGCCGTGGGGTGGGATAGGGTGAGTGAGGTTCAGGTGGGGTGGGTGGGGTGTGGCGATGTCTAAAGGTGAGTGGGACTGGATGGAATGGAAAGGGGTGAGTTGGGTGGGTGGTAGCGGGTGGGGTGGTAGGGGGGAGTGGATAGTGGTGGGTAGGGGGTGGAGTAGAGATGGGTGGGTGGGTGATGGTGTGGGCGAATGTCTAGGTGGGTGGGACTGGGTGGGGTGGGACGAGGTGAGTGGGGGTGGTGGTAGCGGGTGGCGGGTGGGTAGGTGTGAGTGGAGGATGGTGGTAGGCCGGTGGGGTGGGTGGATGGGTGGGAGAGGAGGTAGGCGTGGGGTGGCTGGCGGTACGGGTGGATGGTGGAGAGTAGCGGGTGAGGGTGGGTGGGGTTTGGTGGAGGTGGAGGTAGCCGGTGGGGTGGGTGGATATGTGGGGATAGGTGGGGAGTGGGGTGGGATGGAGGTAGGCCGGTGGGGTGGGTGGCCCGGTGGGGTGGAGGTGGAGGCGTAGCGGGTAGGCGGTGGGTGGGGATAGGGGTGAGATAGGGTCCGTGATGGTAAGTGAGGAGCCGGTATCGTTACGGAGTAGAAAACGAGTGCGCTGTTAGCTCTATATACCGATCACTCAGTCGCTAAGGAGAAGAATATCACTGATGTAGCAGCTGAATCTAATGGAGAGCGAATCGTTTTTTTAAACATAGATCTTTTGCCCACCAATTAGCGAGTTTTGTCTATAAGAAGGGGGCGAGTCGCAGAGCGGCCGCAGACAGCAGCAGGCGGTAGCAGTGAAATAGCGGGGTGCCGAGGTTCTGAAGCTTAAATGCATCTGTGGTCCTGTAAGGAGTAGAAATAATATAAATGTTGCTATTGTTTGGATTTTACGTGTTCATATCGCAACTGTACTTCGCAATCCGCTCCCCCCGCCGCAGCATCCCCCTGCACAGCCACCGGCCATCATCTCTCCGGCTGCAAGACCATGCTTTTCCACTCAAGCTCGTCGGCCGCATGCCCCACGTTATCCTTGCCCCCGCTCAGGCCAGCTCAGGCATCCCTCCGCGCACAGGCATCCTCGCCTTACGCTGCATCCCTCCCCGTACGGCAGCATGCCGCTCCCCAACGCAGACCATCCCCTCCCATACGCAGGGCATCCCTGCCCTCACGCAGCCATCCGCTCGCCCACGCAGGCATCCCTCCCTACGCAGCATCCCTCCCACGCAGGCAATCCCTCCCCAACGCCAGCATCCTCCCCACGCAGACAATCCTCGCCGCACGCAAGCATGCCCTCCCCCACGCAGCATCGCGCTACCTACGCAGGCATGCTCCCTGCCGCACCGCAGGTGCATTCGCCTCCGCTACGCGAGCATCCTCCTCCTACGAGGCATCCCTCCCCGCATCCTCCCCACAGCAGCAATCCCTCCCCACGGCAGCATTCGGCTCCCACGGCAGCATGGCGCTTCCCTACGCCAGCATCCCTCCCACGCAGGCATTCCTCGCCACGACGCATCCCTCCCTACGCCAGCATCCCTCCCCAACGGCAGGCTCCCTCGCCACGAGGTCCTTCCCTCAGCACCGCAAGCATCCTCCCTAGCGCCAGCATCCCGTCGGTACGCAGCGCAGCAATCGCCTCGCCACGCAGCATCCGCTCCCCACGCCAGGCTCGGGACAATCCGTCCTACGGTCAGCATTCCGTACCCAACCCGAGCCAGCATCCTCCGCTACGCACGCCAGCATCCCTCCCTACGCATCATCCCTCCCTAAGCGGCCCCATCCCTCCCCACGCAGCATGCCCTTCCCACGCAGCATCCCTCCGCAACGCAGCATCCCTAACCGCCGATGCAGCATTCCGCTCCCTACGCATCATCCGCTCCTACGCAGGCATCCCCCTCCCACCGCAGCATCCCTCCCACGCAGGCATCCGCTCCCGCCCGCAGCATCGCCCTCCGCCACGCAGCATTCCTCCCCGCCATCACGCCTCCCTCCGCCTCACATCGTCGCTGTTCGCGGCGTCTTGACGCAAGTTAATATTAATAATCAGAGCTTCTATGACGGCGATCGGTGCTGACAGGAGGGCGGCGGCTCCTGTTCGCATCTCAACAGTCGGTCGCCGCGCGGGGGAACACTTCCCATCTCCATGCGTCTGCCATACAAGCGTCGCATGCCAAGAATCAGTCGCGCGGTCAATGTGTCGCCTCCAATGCGCCCTCGCTCAAGCGTCTCGCGCGAGGCGGCGCGGCACCGGCGCCCGCAATCCCTCCGGCGCGCCGCCGGCGCGCACATCAACCGCTACGCATGCATCCCACACGCGCGCACGCACATACCACGACGCCCACGCATGGCATGCCCACGCGCGCGCGCGCACATACACGCACGCCATGCATACTACGCGACGCGCGCACATACACGCACGCATGCATGCCACATCGCGCGCACGGCACATACACGACGCACGCATGCATCCACGCCACACGCGCACATACACGCCACGCCACCTGCATCGCACGCACAGCCGGCGCGCATCATACACGCACGCACGCAATCACGCACGGCGCGCACATACACGCACGCGCATGGCATCCTACCGCACGCGCGCACATACACGCACGCATGTATCCCCGCGCTCCGCAACGCATGAACGTACGAGATGAATATAATATGAAGATGTAAGACTTTTCCTCGTTGTTGCCAATAGAGACGGCGTGTCGGCTGAACGAGCGCCGTCAACGTGGTTCTTACTAAGAAGAAGAAAGCGAGAGGGAGGGCGGAGGAAGAGGGGGAGGGGATCACAGTAGCGGAACGAGAGGGAGGGCGCGAGAAGAGGGGGAGGGGATCGAGTTAGCGGGAACGAGAGGGAGGGCGGACGGAGAGAGCGGGGAGGGGGGATCAAGTTCGGCCGAACGAGCGGAGGGGCGGAGGAGAGCAGGG